ATTGAGTTTTGATAATCTGTTTCAATTTGAATTCTGATTATCTATTATACAACACCTCATCTTTCCATTACGAATCTTTCCATTACGAATCTTTCCATTATGAATCTTTCCATTACGAATTGCGAATTCTTCATGACTCTTGGCAGATAAGACTAACAGTGTATCTGCTCAATAACTAATATACACATATATTATATTATAATTATATTTCCATGTCACAAGCTGTTTCAAAAACAATTTGAATGTTTATTCCCCTGTACCAACCAATTACCCTTAGTAATATTACATGACGTGTATATATTGTACACATTGGTATATTTATACCAAAAGTACTCAAGTTAGACCGGGTATAGTGAGATTAATAAGATTGTTCAAGCCGGGTATAGTGAGATTAATAAGATTGTTCAAGCCGGGTATAGTGAGATTAATAAGATTGTTCAAGCCGGGTATAGTGAGATTAATAAGATTGTTCAAGCCGGGTGTATTGAGACTAAGATGTCTTTCCAAGTCGGATGTAGTGAGACTAACGTGCCTTGTCATGTCGGGTGTAGTGAGACTAACGTGCCTTTTCAAGTCGGATATAGTAAGACTACCGAGACTATATAATATCAGCCTGTATTATAATGTAAATAATTTATCAAATTTATGATTCTTTCAAAACTTTATTTACCACATGTTTCTCTCTATCATATCATACGCATGCGTAGTTTATCTAATAATTATGACGTGGTATTTGACACCGAGCAGAAGTCTGGGACTTTTGACGTCTGGTTCACAGAAGTTAAAGGTGCTCTTCCGAGTGTTTATAATTTTCAAATATTATGAAATGAAATGGAATATAATGTTATATTTTTCCGATAAGATTCCAAACTCCAATAAAGATATTGAAAATATTCTTCATTTTAGTTACCTACGAACAACCCGGATGCTTCATTTTGACTGGATTCAAAATGGATTGAAAGAAAGAATCATTTCAGAATTATCAATAATATTATACCGAGTTATTATACCACTGTATCTTATAACTTATTGGACGGGAGAATACAGCAGAAAATATTGTCCAAGTAAAATGCTGTGTGACATTTGGGTCGCACGTCCAGCACTCTAAATCTTTAAAACTCCATTTAATTCATTTCTAAATCTTGATGGGCACTTCATATCTTTAATGACAAAACGACAAGAAACAGTCCAGACCATTATTAAGATTACAAACAATTTAAAATAAAAATTCTGTCTGACACCACGAACTATGATATAATACTCCAACTTTAATTTTAATAAGTAAAATAATATATACACTGACGACCCGGATGTAAACAATACGTCACATAAATTATAACCTATTATCTTTTAAGACATTCAAAGTGTCATGCCAACCTCGTTTTCATATCTCCTACATCATCCACGTCTGATTCTTCGCGCCAAATTAAACGCGCACCTGCTACAAGCCCCGATTTTAGTTTGCAGTACAGTAATAATTACTTTTGTAAGGTATAAAAGTAATTTGTATGGTGTATATAATTTGAAATTTATGGAGGTCAAATTTGATTTTATACAAGAAAGAAAAATACAGATGAATATCAGAATTATTTTGCACTTTTTATTTTTCATTTATACATGAATTAAGCATATCCATTCTTAGTTAAACACAATGTATTTAATTCAGTCTTTCACTCTGTCGCTCTTTCTCTTAGTCACAGTTCAGTTCAGTTCAGTAATCTATTTTATTTAGGCTGTAGAAATACCAGGACGATGTTACAGGTCTCCAATACAATACACTGCTGCTCTACCTCATCCGAGACAGAGTGACGAGAATACCAGGTTACAATATTCCCCCCCCCCCCCCCGCCCCTGTCTCTAAGACTTTGAGCCCAGTTGATGCACTGTACATCTCTACCCCAGGTTACAATACTACCCCCTCCCCCCTGTCCCTAAGACTTTGAGCCCAGTTGATCCACTGTATTGATGCCTATTGATACATCTCTACCCCAGGTTACAGTACTTCATGAATAAATTAGACATCATGAAGTTAAATTATATAATAACTCATCCCTGAAATAAACCAAACATGATTTCTCCATTTCAAAACATAATTTGATAAATCTGATACAAGGATAAAATATTTCATAAAATCATGACACAGTGAAAATATTGGGATGAAAAATGGTTTTACACCGGGGATGAAGTTGTTGTACTTTTTACCCTGTACCCGATTAACCCTCAATTTGGGTGTAAAAAAAAGTGAAGACTGATTTGTTTTTGCTGCACTCTCACAAAACCAAACCAGGAGAAAACAATTTTCATATTTTATTTAAATATTGTTATATAAATTAAAACAGATTTAGACAATATTAGTCGCTTTACACATCATAGTTCGATAATTAAAAAAACATACCACCATCTAAAAGACGAAATCAGTAGCAGTAAGTGAGAATATGGGTGTATCATTGTTTTGAAGGGAACTGACAGTAAGTAAGGATATAAACTTGTTCTAACTGGTGTTTCAGACAGAGTTAACAAAATAAAAACAAACAAACACCGCTGTTGTCTTCTACCTGCCTAATTCACATGGAAGAAAAATCTTTAAAATAATTTTCCAATAAAGAGAAAAAACTTGGCTGTAAAAGAATGTGAGGAAGAAAACATTAATTACACCGTTTGCAGGTTGTGTGACATCAAATGAATGAGGTGACAGGGGAATTCTATGGTCGTTCAATCAATCCGAGTTTAAAGGGGAGGCTAAATTTCATGGTTATCGATAAAAAGTGAAAAGATAATTGCATAGTAAAGTCGATATATCCGCCATTTTGAAACACTGTCACACAATCCAAAGATTCAGGAAGTCTAGAGTTGGAATGAAATTTTAATTATTTTAAACTCGGTTGATATCTTAATGAAGTATCTAATACATCCTAGGTCTCTATGTTTGGGAGAATCAAACCCTCCCTTCCCTGAAATCCGAATTCATGACCCCAGAGCACTTGGTGATACACAGCCACCCCATCATGACCAAATGACAATTGAAAGATGAAACAATTAATCTAGTTGCGAAAACATTAGAGTCGAGGAGATGGTAAATCTAAAGTAGGTATTTATCAGGTGATTAGGTGTTAGAGGTTCGAATCTCCTCAGGTGACATGCCACTGGCAATGCTTTCGGCCACAGTCCTCTTTCAGCCCCTACTCCAAACAGTAACATAACGGTTTACATATTAAAATGACACAGTAGTATATTTTTGCCGTCATAGTTGTCCATAAAAACTCTTCATCAAGGAGTCCGAAAAGATCGTTTGCTCCACGTGCTGTGTTGTTGTCTGAATTTTCAAGCGGAAAGTTTTTTGTAAAAGATTTGGACTGAATTAAAATAGTTATGATGTTTGAAACTGTGTAAACTAAGAATTAGTGGACAGTTGTGGAGCTTGGGACACTCCGACTGAATTTAGAAGTGGGTCAAAATTAGAAACTGCACGTGCTCGACAGAAATGTTTGTTGTTCTTCATGTGAAAATGGTGACAAATTTGCAAGGAACTAGAAAGTTTTCCATGGACTAAGATGGACAATACATCATCAACTAAAACTCATGTCTGGAGAATTGTGGCTAGAGCAGAACTATGTTTGTTATGACGTGAAATTGGGTCAACGATAATGTGGAGAATAGTCAACGCGATAAGCGTAAGTAAGTCTTTAGCACATTTAATACAAAACAATGCTAAGAGTTTCCCCCAAAACCCTCGCCCCACCCCCTCGCCCACCCCAGAAAAACAGAATAAATAAAGATTTATAAAACTGTGTGTTGATTAATTTACAGAGGGGTATCAGACTGCAGTAGAGCTTATGATGAAAAAATCCCGGGGGAGAGGTCCTAACCCACTAAAGCCCACGGGTCCCCCACTCATCAGGAGTCATTGAAGGCTCAACGCATGGACCACCCTAGCCTTTGTCTCAAAAGAATCGTTTTCAGTGAAATAATGGATCATAACAAACCTATAACAGTGAAACTGACACATCTCAAAATGTAAACAAATCACGCTTAAAACAATATCACTTGAACATTCTCCTACCCCCTGTCTGTCAGTCGTACTTCTACAATTCTTCATCCATCGACTCTCTCATTTTAAATAGTATAAATCAAGCCTATGGTTTGTGACGATACTGTCAGTGTCTGTTACAGAGCGTGCATTTATTCCAACTGCCGTGTTATTTCCGTCTATCACCTCGGGGGGTATCAATTGTTGAAAAAGGCCAACCAAGCCAACCTTTTTATTGATCCTGGTGCGTTAAAGAGAGGTCCCTGGAAACTATTTGTAGCGGAAGTGACATTGTAATATAATAGTCTTGAACAGTCAGATGTCAATAATTTGTAGTCCTAATTATCAAGACTGTTAAATATTCATGTCAATTAAAGATTTATGATTGATGGCAAATGTTTTCAATTATTTTATGAACATCACAGATAGAAAAATAATTTTTATAATTTGATTCGAGGTTTGATTCAGGTAATATTAGATCTCGCGATACCTAGTTATGTGAAATTGATTTTGTGAAACTTTGGTTGAGTTTTGTAGTGATAAGTTAAATGAAATTCTATTATTGAAATAATTGATTAATTTATGATATAAAACACGAGAGTCAAGTCGTCGAGAGGTTGTTAACAAGTTTCATCCCTGATGTAAATAGATAACGCTTAAAAACGAAATATATCAAGTTATAATATTGCTCATAAAAGCAGCCATTTGTGTTCATTCTGTTTTTACCAAACCAAATAATGACTGATATTACTAACATCTTAATAACAAAAACAATTAAATACTTGAATTAATCTAAACTACCAACAACTACCGGACACATAAAAATAAATTAATATATGATTTAAACCGGGATAGCTATTCACCTCAACCCACAGCAACCCCATTCAATCAGAACTGAGGTAAAACAACTTTATTCTAAGTTGGGAAGGATCTTTAGGATATTAAATTATTGGATGGTCAATCTTTGTACCCTAGCCGTTTGGAAATACCCCCTGGCCGTTTGGAAATGCCCCCTAGCCGTTTGGAAATACCCCCTGGCCGTTTGGAAATACCCCCTGGCCGTTTGGAAATACCCCCTAGCCGTTTGGAAATACCCCCTAGCCGTTTGGAAATACCCCCTGGCCGTTTGGAAATACCCCCTGGCCGTTTGGAAATACCCCCTAGCCGTTTGGAAATACCCCCTGGCCGTTTGGAAATACCCCCTGGCCGTTTGGAAATACCCCCTAGCCGTTTGGAAATACCCCCTGGCAGTTTGGAAATACCCCCTAGCCGTTTGGAAATACCCCCTGGCCGTTTGGAAATACCCCCTGGCCGTTTGGAAATACCCCCTTGCCGTTTGGAAATACCCCCTGGCTGACACAAGTATTTCTGTCTCTAACTACTATCTATATGTCTAATATTTTCATATTATATGGGTAGTTATACGAGTGTTTGGTCGTTTTAGAAATATCCCCTTACGTCACAAGTATTTCTGTCTCAAACTGTCAGAATCTACAGACAGGAAGTGAGAATGGTGGAACAGTGAAGGACAGATAATTCGTCAAGTCTCAAAATAAAACTTAGTAATAGAGGAGAATCTGCCCTGATATTTAATCTCTAGTGGAATCCAAGAATCATATGATAGCCTTTATCATAAACTCTAATAAATGATCATTTTTGTCTGAATCGAGCTGGTGGCGCGGGTATCGACAACTTTACCATGATGTATGACAACCAAACACGACAAAATATCTTCCATTTCTCTCAAAATATCATTTTTTATAAAACACCAAGAAAAATTGGAATTTATCATTCTTAGACAAAATGTCATCGAGAGAAGAAATAGATTTGTTTAAACTAAAACGAGCTATATGAGCTGGTGGTTTAATACCTTAAACTCCGCTCTAGACAATCCATTCGGTCAAATATTAAATTTATGATTTGAGCATCGCAAATGAAAGAAGGTAAATTGACATTTGACAAGTTTTCTGGTTCCCTTTAAAGACGATCAGCCAAGATCAATTAATCCAATAACATTTTCTTTACGTACTGACAAGGTTAATACGTGTATTGTATTGAAATTGTTATTACTTATTAGAAAATGATATCATTTTACACTGTACTTTTAATTTATAAATCCCAAATCAATATGTGGCGATCTGATTGGTTGATAAAGTTACTATAAATAGAATAATAAGTAAGATGAATGTTATACAGTAACGAGCTTATTATACCAGGACTCGGTCACTTAGGGTAGGGTCACAAGAAACAGACTAAAGAGACGACGTTGGGAACCCACCTCTAAAAAATTCCCTTGTGCTGAGGTCCCTAGTTAGGGTTGTAAGCCTACCATAGAATAAGACTTGGGTTACCGCATGCTTGTCTAATGATTTAGTCCAAACAAGTTCTCCAAGTAGCAACAACCAGTCAGCCGATTCCTCTGCAACCTTTAGGTTATATTTCTTGTGTCCTCGGTGCTTAGAGTCTCTTATTGCACAGCTATTCTGACAATTGGTATCGACTATGCCATCGGTGCTTGTGGGTTCGAGTCTACGTCCTTCTGCACCATGTGAGCTAATGAAGTCGGGCAACACCATGCAGGGTGCCATGAGGGAAATTTTGGCAGGACAGCGGCATTAGCCTGCTCTTTTTCGATTTCCAACTGTCGAGGGAACTTTAACGTGCACAGCCTTTTGCCTCGGGCCTCGGTTTAATGTCCCATCCGAACGACTAGACGCTTTTCCATATCAGCCCCTCTAACCTGCATCACTGACAGGGGGGAACCGGGTTGAAAAATCCGAAGGTATTATCTCGACCTATGCCGGGATTGAACGAGCCACCGCGGCTCCCTAATTGTTGCCAAGCTACCATGAAATAAAGATGGTGTCTAGTTTACCCCTGGTTCTTAGAGATCGAGTACTCCAGAGTTTGAGTACCTCAGTGTTCGAGTACCCCAGAGTTCGAGCACCTCTTTAATGTAAACCCACCACTAGAGAAAGATGGTATCTGATAAATAAGAAATTGTTTTTGTCTGTGAAGGGGATTATAGAAATGTAATAATCCCCAACTTTTATATTAGTCTGTTATCTTCTCAACAATTCTTCCTTTTTTTACTGAAATTATGATTGAAATTTATCACAATAGACCAAACATCAAAACCTGGTTGAGACGAAATAGGAATTTCTGTGTCGGTGCTGTGACCCTAGTTATATTCCGAGCTGTGATTTCCAGTACAAATCAGACCTTAACAACATTCGACCTATTGAACTGGAAAAGCCATCATGCCGTCTCGGCTCCACAAAACAAAAAGATGCCGCATCCAGCAATTGAGAAACCGAAGACCGGGACCTCAAGAGAAAACCGAAACCAGACAGACTCTTGTCGGTGCAATATATTTAGAAACAGTCTATTCCCGAGAGTCTTTCAGAATACATATACCAAAGGAAACTGGTTGGAAGAAGGTTTGCTCCGTTTGGATGAATCAAGGACAACCCTCTCTGTGATACAGGACGGTGGTGTTAGATAGGACAAAACTCTCTGTCAGACAGTCAGTCCCTACCCAGGTTTAGTCTAGAACTAGTAAACGAATGATGTCAATGATATTCTATATTATATTATACAGATTGAAAGTGTGATAGGGAGGGTGTCATGGTGTCAGACAGACAGTGTAATATCTTCCATAACTCACACTAATACACATTAATATCAAATAAATACAACTATTTCTACAAACTGATAATAGTACAACAGTGGACCACTCTCTAGAATATAACCCAGAGTTAGGTGATGTCTGGTGTTTCTATAAACAGATAATAGTACAACAGTGGATCACTCTCTAGAATATAACCCAGAGTTAGGTGATGTCTGGTGTTTCTATAAACAGATAATAGTACAACAGTGGATCACTCTTTAGAATATAACCCAGAGTTAGGTGATGTCTGGTGTTTTTTATAAACAGATAATAGTACAACAGTGGATCACTCTCTAGAATATAACCCAGAGTTAGGTGATGTCTGATGTTTCTATAAACAGATAATAGTACAACAGTGGATCACTCTCTACAATATAACACAGAGGTAGGTGATGTCTGGTGTTTCTATTAACAAACAATAGTACAACAGTGGACCACCCTCTAGAATATAACCCAGAGTTAGGCGATGTATGGTGTTTCTATAAACAGACAATAGTACACCAGTGGATCATTCTCTAGAATATAACCCAGAGTTAGGTGATGTCTGGTGTTTCTATAAACAGATAATAGTACAACAGTGGATCACTCTCTAGAATATAACCCAGAGTTAGGCGATGTCTGGTGTTTCTATAAACAGACAATAGTACAACAGTGGATCACTCTCTAGAATATAACCCAGAGTTAGGTGATGTCTGGTGTTTCTATAAACAGATAATAGTACAACAGTGGATCACTCTCTAGAATATAACCCAGAGTTAGGTGATGTCTGGTGTTTCTATAAACAGATAATAGTACAACAGTGGATCACCCTCTAGAATATAACACAGAGTTAGGTGATGTCTGGTGTTTCTATTTGAAGACACAATACAAACGTTGCCCACTCTGTAAAATATATACCAGAGAAGGTTGATGTCTGGTGTTTCTGTACATCACTCACAGGGGAAAACCAAGCTGAAAAAGGGTACATGTATCTAAGATTGACCCGGTCCTTCAGGTCTACCTAGCCACCGTAGCCCCCCTGTCAGTGAGGCACCAGGTCGAGGTCTGACTTCCTGTTAAATTCTATAAGCTGTCAGAAGAATGATATATTTGAATCATGGTAATACGACCAAGGAAGGATTATGGCGATTCGCCAATTGATACATTGTTTTATTAAATTAATCCACTCGGCTTTTATTATAGTCTGACGTCATCACCTATTATCTTATAGGACTCATCGATTATATATGTCAAAAGGTGCAAAAACACAACTTTCTGCAAACTGCGTTTTCAGTGAATCGGAAAATAAACTTTATAAATAATAAATCTACACCAAAGTCTGTTTTTATTGCGTCTTTTCTTGGTGAAAACTTATTCTTGCATATAAAGAAAATATTATATACATGTAGTCTTTATCAGACAGTTTCATTCCATGGTTATAACTTGTCTTATGATTATAGCAGCCAAATCTAGGATGTTCTTATGAGATCAGAGATACAAAACTATAGTCAAAATTTCAGCTACAAGTTGTCAGCCTGTTGACCAGAAGAACAATTCACCTTTCCGAAGCCTGCTATGTATCTATTTTGCTAGACGAAGCCTGCACAAACTACTACCTACTGCTATCAGCGTAACCGTTGAGGTGGATCGTGCGAGGACACTCGTCAACCAGTGAGATGAAATATTCAACATATCTGAATCCATTCACAGTGATCCAGTTTACTGAATCAAACACCAAAAACTACAACCATGCTCAAACCTAATTGGTGGACGATACGCTTCTCACCTAACAGAGACCAACCGATGAAGAGTCAAACCATTGTATAAAGGAAGACACATAAAAAGACATGAACATTCTTTCATCTGTTGAATTCTTGATATTTGATAAAACCAGCTTTAGGCTAATATTTATTTTATTCATGAAAGTCACCACAGAACGACACGACCACGAGAGAAAATGGCCCGCAATGAGAAGAAGAGTGGAATATTATCCAAGTTAATGTTGAACTGGTTGTGGGAGAAGTTTTTTCAGATGATGATAAATGAAATTATGATGTAAATCTGCAACCTCAAGGAACATTTGAAATCTTGGTATCTTGTTTCCCATCAACAATAATCGCAAATCACTCATCATAAATTCTGAGTAATCAACCCAATTTCCACGCATTATGACAAGCTTAATGGGCCAAAAAATCACAAATTGCTCACTTTTTTCTCAAATAAAATAATACCAATTTTTAATAGTTTCACATTAATTGCTTCACCTTTTGTTTCAAAATGTCTTTTTACCTCATAAACATCAACTATTCTCTAATAATTTCTATAGTCGGATCGTATCGTGGTTGAAGTGCGAATATTGCCTCAAATAAATCTGGTTCTACGCAATAAATAAACTTAAACAATCGAAACTGTTATAAACCGTTCATTTTGTTCGCAGCTTCCGACCGCTGAGGTCGTATACTGGATTCAATTACGTAAGAAGAAGATAAGCAATGGATGGTAACCAGGGGCGACTGTGAATTTTCAGTGAGCTAAATCCAATAATGTATCTTCCAAGTTTGTCAGTATGATGTCGACAAATACAAAAAACTACTTTATGTATCTCCTTGTCAACTAAGCATTCAGAGAGTCCACATAGCTATTAATGTTTACTTGATATTTTGTGTATTCTTCATTCCTTTTGAAGTGTATAGTGTAACAAGACAATTGCCGACTGTACATGATGGTGGTGGTGATGATTAAAATCTTATAACATTTTCATTTTGACGAGTTATTATGTAATATCAGAGAAAATCTTCAATAAATTCTGACCTTTGACCCTGGAATTACTGTGTTTATCAAATTATTGATAGATCAGTTAGATTGATTGGTTATTATACCTCACACACACGAGATTTACCAGTTCCATGGTTACATGATATCTGGTGGAAGACGTTGTAATCGAGAACACCGAAACTCAAATCCAATTCACAAAAATGAAAAGATTTCAGGTCGTCTGTCAGGTTCGGAGAACAAGTGATGACAATATGGAGAACATTATCAATTTACTGGATTTATTGGATCAATGCTCTTGGTTTCTACGTATCTTCTTAGTGTTCTTGCAATCGCAGGGAAGGAACTCCAACTTGCTATCAACAGGACCAAGTCAGAATTACAGCAAGTTCCAGGCATCACCCACTTTCAGTTTCCTGTAACTAGTTAATTGCAGTAACTACGTTCTAGATATTTGTTTGATTATATTTCTGCATTATTCCAGAAAGGCGATGGACATCTGTTTTTGGACCACAGTGAGGGAAGTAAAAAGTAAAAAATGAAATCATATTCAACAATGTTTATTTTGTTTTTCATATGACAAAATATAAAGCTATGTCCTACATCCTTACATCGTCCCACCCTCCCCCTCCCTCACAAATAAACAGTTTCAAAATAAACAGTTTGATAAACAAAATACATCTTCGTTAATCAAAGTATTAAGTACTTGTGACACTTGCTCGTTTAAGTAGAAAAGCAACTTTGTTCATTCAAAAAGCAATTTATTAATAATTCTGGTTTGTGTAAATGTTTCATGGCTATGTCACAATGGTAAAATTTTGCGATCCATTCACAAGATTCGATCATCCAGACTTCTACAACAGTCATATATTGAGTGATAATCGAGACTATAATATTTAAAGCTATTGTGACGTATAAAATGTATAACAATGTTCCACTCCCTAGAAGGGCAGCAGGATTTAAAGCTTTCCAAAGGCAAGAATAATGTAAATACACTAAACTAAAAAATCAAACAAAAAATCTTTGGATAAAGTGGATTCCAGATTGTGAATTATTTTCACTGAAACTTTAAATTCCAGACAAATTCAGCAAAATCCCCATTCACTACTTTTATAACTAAATACGCCAAAATGTAAGTTAAATGATATCCAAACGTTCTATAATAATTCAATATAGGCGTAAATAGTTGAATAAAAGTCAGTAAGAATTCGATGAAACTGATTTCGTGACTTGTGATTTGTAAAAAAGTGAAATTTGAGTAATGTTTAATGATGAAGACGGCTAATCAAATCAGTTTTAAATATTCATTTTCTATATTGCTGGTTATTGCCCCGAATAAATCAAAATATTCCCGATCTAATTTGAATTTTAGTTTATATCAGATTTTATTTCAAGTTATTATTTTTTAAAATTACAATGTAAAAATTTCAATCGAAAAAGGTCTCGAAAAGTTGAAAGATATTTCGTTCTAGAGAAAAAAATGCAAAAATATTTGGAACTGCAAATACGGAAGCTGAAACATTTTTTTTACATGATATTTTTCTTTCCTTTAAGAGAAATTCCAAATTTGACCCACTTCGTTCTCGTTTATGATGAAGTGGTTAATTATTAATTAATGTAAATCTTATTGAGATTATTTCGTGCCAAGTTTGATCATTCTCATTATAACCGATTTCCTGACGCTGATGTTCAAATCTAAACTAATTTTCTCTACCCTGCAGGTTTGATTATTTATTTATTATTTATTTATTATTTCCCATATCTTAAATATCATCAGAAATATAATTTTCATTTCCTTGTCGTGATGATCGTCATAATTCCAGATAAACTTTTCTCTTTTTCTATCAATAATCACAATAAAAAACAAACTTTATTTTAATTATTCAGATAAATTTAATTAACCGACCAAATTAATTAGAAATCTACAAATTAATTGCTTTTGTTTGTGGGAAAAAAATTCACTTTTACACCAAAATGACAACAAACAAAACTGCACGATTGAAAAATATTGCAAATTAGACAAAAAATAAAGGTGGCAGGTGTAGACTGGAATAACAAGACATTGATTGCTTTAGAGGGAGGTAGTATTATAATAGTCTCGGATGTCAAGACTTGCGAAATTAAGACTAGATTTTCTAACATCAAGATTATTTTTTTTTCAAAAATTGGTTTATTTCACCCAAAATAGACAAGAAATAATAAAGCTCGCGTTCTGGTATAATATCTACAAGAAAAAAGATGAAAAGTTGAATGCATAATGATAACTTGTAGACTAAATACAAGGGGCTAAATAATTTTTAAAATGAAATTTAACTTATAGAAATGGATACATACACTGAGATATGTTCAAAATGATAAAAATGATGTCATATCAAACAAATTACGTCATCATACACTGACGTAAACATCAACGTCATAAAAATCAAACGACGTCACATACAACTATACGTCATTCTTACGTCAGCAAATAAACTATATATATTGATAATAATGATAGTTATAATACACGAGATTATATATATATATGATTAAAAAACGTTATATATATATATTTATTTAATAACTACAACTCACAACCGAATGTTTGAAACCATTTCATTATTCACAATTACAACGGTATGACAACGTTTACTGTAAAACTGGTAAATGGAATGCAACTACAAGCACAAATTTTAAAGCTTTCATTCATTTTGCTATAGATTGGTTCAACTAAATATCTATACAAAGCTCTTTATAAAGCATTTCACGGCAAATAATTTCAAAAGTCGAAACCTTTGCCTAAAAATGGCGAATTTCTAGATCAGCACAATAATCTATACAATATTAACAACAAAATCTATAAATCAAATCTATATATCTATTTATAACACATTTCTTCAAACTATTCTTAAATCAGAATGGCGAATTTTCAACTTGTGGGATTTCACATATAAAGTGTGTTCGATGGCCAAGGAACACAAATAAGCACTATAGTACACTGTAAAGAGATTCCAATTTCAACATGACTTGTTGAACTAGTTGTTGTCTATATACACTACCGAGTTTTCGGCTTTTGATTTTTAAATTTGACACAAATTATTTACACCTTGTTATAGTTCAGTGTCTCTATCACTTTTTTATAAACTGGGTTCACATACCCTTCACAAATCTGATACCCTTTCTGGGTTCCTTAGTTCATTACTTTGACTAGATAGTCCAATAGTTTCATTGAACGCTCTGATTATCGATTTTAAATCTTTAACACTCGCTAATCGTTTACAACACCACACCCATTTATAGTCCCGAATCAACTGTCTTGAAACAAACTTTCAATATCTACTGAATCGAACATTAAGTTTGAAAGGAACACAGTTTCTATCTAAGCTACGATAGCTTTTGGAGCCTCGGTGGTCGCCGCTTGAATATGGTGAGACTGGATATGTTGCTCCAAAGCGGCACTGGAAGAGAAACTTTGAGAACAGATGTGGCAACTTCCAGCTTTCCATAACCATCCTCCGGCAGCTGATCCTGGTGAACTCGAACCCTCAGATGGCGAATCCTTGGTTTGTGGCGATGATGATGCAGAAGCCGAGTTTCCGGATGATGTCGACCTCATGCTGAGATCAAGTTCCCCTGAGGATGTAGTCAGGTTTTTAGGTTCCGGGGATTTTTCCATACTGCTATTTCCGTTGGGCGAATCAGCCTTCTTTTCAGATGGACGTTCGAGTTTCGGTCCGAAGTGAGGCATTCCTGGGTGCATAGGCATTCCCATACCAGCTTGCATACTCTGAAGAACGGATAAGTCGTTCATTTTAGGATTGAGTCCGTTGAAGAAAGGAGGATACTGGAAGTAGAAATCTGGTGGTCGTTGGGGGAATCCCTGGATGTAAGGATTCTCCTTCATGTGAGACATCATGAACGGGGGTTCGATAGACATTCTCCTGCCACGTCGAGATGGACTGTTATTCCACATGTGAGTTCCCATATGCACCTTCAGGTTGCCTCTGGTTGTAAAAGCTTTGCCACAGACATTACATTTGAAGGGTTTGTCTCCAGTGTGAGTTCTGGTGTGGATCATCAGAGCACTGCCACTGGAGAAGGATTTCTGGCAGGTAGGACAGATGTGTTTGCTTCCGTTGCGTCTGGTAAAAGGAGATTCGTCGCTGTTATTGCTGTTATTGTTGGCGAGTTGTGGATTGTTGTTATTAGTATTGCTGGGTTTGGAATCCATCTCAGGAGATGATTTTGTTGGTTCACGATCTTGAGTTGATTGACTAACTGTGTTGGTCTCTTGGGGTGTATTTTCTGTATATGGTTCAGCGTCTCTTGCGTCTTGAGTTCTATCAGAGCTACTGCTATTTTCATTAAATGAACCACTTGGAAGATCTCGAATCTTGTGAGTAAGCATATGCTGACGCATGTTGCCCTTGGTTGTAAAGGTTCGCTCACATACGTCGCAGGAAAACGGACGTTCCTTTGTGTGGCTTCTGTAATGGATATCTAAAGCACTTCGACACGCGAAAGTTTTGAAACAGATGTTGCAAGTTGTATGTGGAACACCATCAGCGTCTGTTGGTCTGGTATCCATACCACCCATCATCGGGAATCCTGGAATTGCAGGTCCGTGAGGGAACATCATTGGATTCGCTCTGATTTCTTCTCGTCCATATTCCGATCCGTTCTCAGACGCAGTGTGGCTTTTGGGAGAAACTGCAGGAGAAATATCACCATTTAGATACCTGGAGTTCGGAGATTTTTCAGTGGGTAGTCCATGACCTAGACCCATGTTGTATCGGAATCGTTCAAAGGAGGACTGGGCCAGCTGACTATCAAATGCTTTGACTCGTTCTTCCAGAGCAGCTAAGGATGTTGATGACGAGAGAACTGGACTAGTGAGGTAGGGTTGTGGTCGACTGGTTGATTGAGATGTTGGTGGTGAACGGTTTCCGTTCGGACTGGAATAATCTTTGGGAAGATCTTCATCATCATCTTCATTCATTTTCATCTTCAAATTCTCGGCTTCTTCGATGTCGTCATTTTCATGAGCAATGGCGGCCCGATCTTCTTCGTCGATTTCTTCCTCTTCGTCATCATCGTCGTCATCCAAATCCATGCCTAGTTTCTGGTCGTCTGAATCATAGCCCTGGTAGTCTTCGGGATCTCTGTTGGATTTATTGCTCAGATCCAACTCCTTGGCTTCACCTTGAGACAAGTCATAAGGTCGCATCATCTTGTGGTCGAATTGCTGCATGGCTGCCCATTCGGGATGCATAAACATATGTTCTGGGATCATATTAGGAAGCCCGTGTTCCCCGGTATGCATCCTGATGTGTTGTTGAAGGACTAGAAGATTGGTGAACTGTTTGTGGCATACTGGACACTGATGCATCATCCTCAATGGTGGTTTCGCTCTGTGGACTCCCATGTGAGTCTTCAGGTTGCCCTTGGTGGTGAAGGATCGACTGCAGATTTTACATTTAAATGGTCTTTCGCCTGAAAAATACAAACAGAAGAATAGTTTGAGTAAGAGTTCCATAACATTGAATATACAATACAAGTAAACAGTTGAGGACTCAGAAGAATGAGGAAACACAAAAGATCTGAAGGTTGCAGAAATCGCGAATGTTCAGGGAAAAACAAATGATAAACTTACCAGTATGGATTCTGTAGTGCATCTGAAGAGCAGATTTACAGCTGAGAACTCGTTGACAGATCAAACACTGGTTAGGATCAGTAATCTTCTGTTCTATATTCTTCACTAGTTGTTCCAGCTTGGATGTTTCTGACTTGGACACTTCCATATACTCCTCCAGATTCTCTGATGGGTCGATCATCTTCGTGGGAAGAATTGAGTTCTTGAACATCTGAGAGTCTGTTGATGGTGATGGCATTGGTAGAGATGTGAAAGGGGAGTTGATGCTGGAAGCGATACTGGCCATGTTGGATGCTAGACTGGCTGCCATGCTGGCCATCGGATGAAGAGGTGAAGGGAGTGGGAAGGAGCTGTGAAGAGGTCCTGGTAGAGACGGTCGTGGTGCCATTGGACTCCTGATTGATGGAACTGGAAGATTCTCGGAAAGTGAAGACGCTCGAGAGGAAATGCTACTGATGGAAGTTGGGGTTGGTAGACTTTCTCGATGGTGATGATGGTGATGACTAATTTCTCTCTCTCGCTCTCTCTCCCTTTCTCGGTGATGTTCTCTCTCTTCTCTTTCGCGTTCTCGCTCTCGTTCCCGGATTTCTCTCTGAGGGGTTGAAGGTGGACTAGATCTTTCTTTTTTGATGAGTTCAGGACTAGATGGTCGTTCTCTGTGAGGAGTATTTGAGTGAGGGAGGCCAGGAAGTTGAGGGAGGCTCCCAGGATGTAGATGACCAGCTGGGGAGAACATCCCAGGTCCCAGGGGTCTGTGAAGTGATGGAATGCCAGTTCCTGGAATTCGTGCTCCCATTGGAAACCCTGGAGTCATTGGTAGAGATCCTAAGGGCATGCCCATATTTGGCATCATTGGATTTCCCATGAATCCTGGAGGTAGCGGCATGGATGTCGGGATGCTGGGTTGGGGACTCGGCATCGGCATGCCCATTCCTCCTCCTGGAAGTCTGTCCAGATGCTCTGGAACTGGTGTTGGATTCATCCTGGCATTGGGATATTTGGCCTTGTGGCGCTCGAAATGAACTTTCAGGTTGCCCTTGGTAGAGAATCGGTTTCCACAGATGTGACATTTGAATGGTCTCTCTCCTGAAAAGATAAAAGACAGAATATTAAGTCAAAGATATAAAGTTTCTAATCCCTGAACTAACAGGCTACCAGAACCTTCACAGAAATTTAAGAATGAGCTTCCAACAAATTTTCATCAATTTTGAATTTTCCACAAATTGATCAATACACCCAAAACTTAAACTTTATACAACTATATTTAATTCCTCCTGGTCATCAACTCTTCACAAATTCAATATTTGGGCTTTTATTTTTATAACACTATCAGTACCACTCATTTATAAGATATTTTTCAATTTCTCAAGTAAATTTTAAAATTTATCTTGTTACATAGGACTCATATTTTCTGAGTTAAACTTGGAAGATTTATCTGAAGTTATTATCCAACTTTATTAAAATAAAATTCTGACAGATATACACAGTAATTAAAGTTAATCTTGGTAAATTGAAGAAATTGGGAGGTCTCAAATCATCACGTCAAATTATAACTCTTGTTTGAAAATTTAAAAATTCATAGCTAGAAAATGACAGAAAAAGAAGTGAAATTTTGTTATAATAACATTGAAGTAAAAATAATCTTTTTATTTTGATTTGGAGGCAGCTGGAGTTTGTCAAATCAACTTCTTGAAGAAATAGATCAACTCTAAAGTGTATTTGTAAGAATTTTGGGGTAAAAATGTTGAAAAATGATACTACCAGACAATGAAAATGGAGAAAAAAGCAATTACTTATAAAATTAACCAATTTACTCAATCAAGATTTTTAGAAACGGCTCATTTGTTTTAAACAGAAATCTGTCAAAAAACCATGGTGATAAGATTTCTGACACTTATTTCAATTCTGACGTTTTGACTGCAGCAGAGTGTTTGATGGGTGCCATGGATGGCTGGAATGCCGAGTATGAGTTGCATAAACTAGGAAATGGTTTGGAGAGGTTCTGGTAAATGGCTGACAGGGTAAATTATCGTCAAGAAAGGCGAGGGGGGTGGTTGGTGTGTGGTCTGAATTGTTTGATTGAATTTTGACAGTCGACATGCCTTGTTCTATAGAAATGGTTGGTTTGGTAGAAATTGCTGTGTTATTGTGTTTTATTTTCTGAATGTTTGGTTGGTAAAATTGTACCTATAAATATATCTATAACAATTTAGAATTTTGATTAAGTTTTCTAAAGTTTTCAGTACCTTTTCAACAATTTTTCCAAATTTACATGATTTTAATATCCTTAAGTCACAAAGGTCAGGGATATAATTATTCTTTAGGGTGAAATATCTCATTCAATATGAAAAAAAATAAACCAAATAATTCTGAGGTCTGAAATATTTTGATGAATTTTCCAGTAAAAAGTTCACCAGGAGAAGAAAAGTGGAAATTTTTTGTCAGATTTTTTCAAACATAAACTTTGAAGTAGTTTGTGTTTTTTCTCTGAAAATTTCTGTGAATTCAATTTGGTTGTTAGAGACCTCAGCATGCTGCTGATGAATTTATAAAAATAAAAAATCAACCAAGTAAGAAATATGTCAGAAAGATCAGTAAGGGGTTAAGATTTAAAAATCCACACACGTAATAATCAGAGGGTTAATTACATCTACAGATTGTGAACGCGTGTATTTTTTACCACACATGCACCTACACGCGTTCTAACACCAAACACTAATGTTAATTTTACCAGTTTTATGAAAACAGATTTTCTAATTATCCCAATATTTTATACATAATTACAATAATAAAAATGTTTTTTACAGTGATCAATCTTCTTGGGGTAGTTTTTCATCAGGTTTATAAGATTCTTAGATTACTCTACAACAAGCTTGGAATTCAACCTTCACATAAATTTACCAACATTTTTTTACTAATTTTGACATTTATTTACACAATAAAATTTCATCACCATCTTCTGTCAATTTTCACTGATTTCTTTCTTTCTCAGATTAGAATAGTTAACATCAATTTATGGCCAAATTGAAATTTCATGGATTTTTTGCTCCTGTTTAGAATGATCTTTATGTACCAATATTTCAAGCAGAAAATCTATAAAACTATGAAAATAAAAACTCAGTCACTGCCAATAAAACAACACAAAACATCAAAAAAAAAAAAATTAATGCCAAGGCCATTGCTTATGTTGTCTTTCATCTCATACGAACTATTTCTTATTTTCCTCAAAATAAGACTGACAAGATTCCAATAACAAGAATATGACAGTAGTTGACTACACCCTACCCCCGAAATACTTGACACAATACACAATAAACTCTCTTGTATTTCTCCTTCCTGACCAAGGCTTACTTACCCAAAATGTCACATAATAATTCACAAAGGAGAAGAAGTACACTGCAAGTTTTATATAAAATTTCTGATTCAATGCAGATCCTACAACTTCTTTCCTTTTTTCTAACTTTATCTTTTGTTTTCCTTAATTCAAAACCAGTTTTTATCAGTTTCTAATTTTGTTTTCCATATTTCAAACTTTTGAAAAATAATTAGAAAACATTTCTTGTAAGATCAGAGCTGAGAAAAAACTCGACTAGAATCCATCTGTCTTAGTTGAAAGTGTCAAAAACCGAAATTAAACTTCAAAATGAAGGAAAATAAACGATCTTTTGTACTTTTTAATAATTTCAATGAACATATTTCATTTTTTGAGAAATTTATGTTTTGAAACTGGAGTATTATCAGATAATATGGTATCTCTGTAGTTTGAATGATGGCAAATTTAAAATAATTTACACAAGTTTGAAAATTTATACAGCAGCCTATAAAAAAACGTCTTAGATGTCAATTTCCAGGCATATAATTGATAAATGAAGCAAAAAAAATATTCATCATTCAGAATTTATGAAATAAAATTTAAAATAAGCCAAATCATTATTTTTCTGTCAAAATTTGTGAGAAATAGAAAAATAGAGCTGCCAGTATTTCCCAACAGGAAAGAAAAAAACAAAAAGTATTGTACAAGGTAATTCATAAGGTTTGAAATTAAAGGGGAACATCCAGGAATCTAATATGACAAAACCAGGTTTAAAGAGCGAACTTGTTATGACATGTCAGACTGAATAAAAACCTGGAATATATATTTGTTATAATATCTCTTTAAAACTGAATCTTTATCAAATACTAAATTCAATATAACTTGTACTGATGAAATTTACAAGATGAAATGTTATTAATTTATTTTCATTTAAAATAATCAGAGTGATTTAAAACGTTTGAAGTCAAACTCATCGCAATCAGTTGATTTCCGGCAAAATATCTCACCATAGAATGTATCAAACAATGTTTATTTTTAAATCGAAATCAAATTAACGTTAATCATGATCATGTGACATCGATACTCTTCAAGCCTCTTTTACATTTCTTAGCCTCTTTTTAAAATCAAAGCGTAATCGTTTGATATTTTAGCCTCTTTCTGATATTTAAATTCAATATTTAACTAATTTTAAATCCCTTTCATATCTTCACTCATAATTTAAGATTTGTGTAACATAGTAACAGAGCGTTCGGTGTAACATATTAAAGAGTCACGCCTGCTGATATTTAAAACGATTGTTAGATTTAATACAGTCAGGGTCACAGTGATTTATAGGGTTCACACAGATTAAAAATAACAATTAAAAACATCTCAAATAACAACCCTTAAACAGGACTTCAAACTCTTCAAAATTTGATATTTATTTCAATTTGTTTATTTCCCTTCTTACTCTTTAATTAGGGGAAATATTTTCGGTGTAGATTTGGGTTTTATCTTTTAATGTTCATTGTAATAAAGTTTTTAAAAGTTTTGAGGACATTCAAACTACAGTAAGGATTGTTATCAGATTCAGTAACTTGGTAATATGTTCTGTATTTACATCTTTCTTTCCTTACCAAGTTAAAATCTTCAAATGACACTATTGAGATCAGATCCAAATTATTTTCTGAATGATCATCTTCATCATCATCATTAATAAAAAGCTGACTAAAACTGTACAGATGTAATAAATGGCCATTTTATTGAGTCAATGAAGAGAGAATTTGAGCTGTTGTAGAATATTTGTTCATCTTTCGCAGGTCAACAAATTGCCGATTTGACTGAGTAAAATCAAATAGAAATCGACATGTACAATATCTCTGACTTTA